GCATGCAGCCTCCCCGGCCTCCCCGTGAGTCAGCTGTCACGAGTTCTGGGCCCTGCACCTCCGGTCCCCTCACAGCCACCAAGTGCCTTCTCCCGGGACCCTGAGTACAGCCAGGACGAGTGGCCCCCCGGTTCACATGTTGCTGCTTCTCTCTGCCAGGACCTGCACTCTTTCCCTGAGAGCCATTCCCCTCTGACTCCCACCCTGACACACACTCTGTTCACATCGCACTACGTTGGAAACAACCAAAGAAAACGGTTAAGCAAACTCCTACGGTAACGTGAGCGAACACGCGGGACATGCTGACGGCTGGCAGGTAAGGGACCTCGCTCGGTGTGGGATGCTGTGTTTTGAAACATTGTGATTTGATTAAAGCAGAACACAAACGACATGCTCATCACAGGTGTGCCAAAGTGCGCGCCTGCAAGCTGGTAAGAGCCAGAAGTGCGCTGAGAGACGTAAAGAGATTGTTATCTACGTGGGGCTTTCTTTTCCTATAAAGATTATGCTCAAAACAACCAGAAGCAGCAAAATAAATAAATGTGATCATAATAAGCAGAGGAGGAGGAGTCTGTCTCGGTCCCCAGAGGACCACCCCTCTTCTGGAAAGGGCTGGAGTTGCAGGGCCTGGAAGTGGGGAGTCGGGGAGCTGTGGGAAGGAGGAGGCAGGTCCACCCAGGGGAGCAGCGCCCAGAGCCGCAGAGGTGCAGCTGGGAGCATCGCCCCGGGGAGCCCCTGGGGGCCCGTGGGCCAGATGAGCAATGTGGATGGTGCCTCCCGGAGCTGTGCATCGTGGTGGTTCTAGGACACCTTGCATCTCAGAGGACCAACGCGGGACCGGCCTACAGGAGGGGGCGGCCTGCAGAGAGAGCGTCACCTTGCTCTGGGGGATGCCAGCCTGCAGGGAGCAGGCGGGTGTGAAAGGCGCCAACCGAGGCTCCCCTGGGACCCGGGGACAGTGCACTTCACAGACAGACCACACTCAAGGCGTCTCCGCTGACTCCTCATCTCGGCGGCCCTCCACCCTGCCCTGCTCCCCTCCCGTGCTCCCCATCCTGGCGGCTGGCACCACCACTCCCCACGGCTTCCCAGGCTGCGGGCCCTGGCCCTGCCTCCGGCTCTCACTCCGCCCTGCTTCGCACCCTGTGCCGCACCCGCCCTGAGATATTCACAGTTCCCGTAAGATGCCAAGCTGTGTTGCTGCCCTGCCTTTTCCCATGCTCTTCCTTCCGCCCAGAATCCGTCTCTACCTTGTCCGGCTGCTTATCTGTCAAGAGTCAGCTTAAGCAGCGTCGCCCTCCGTGAACCCTTTCTGCTCATCCCTTC